TGGGGACAAGCCATTTTTCCCCTAACAACGGGAACACGGGAGGGGGAGGGTTGTGGGGTTTCTGATCTTAATAATGGATAGGGTGGGGGCCCTGGGCCGAGGACAGTGACTCAGACTCTCAGAGAAGATTCCCGGAGTCTGGGCACTGGGAGGAACAGGGTGGGTCATAGATGAAAAGGACCCAGCACTTTCTTTTTTCTTTTCTTTTTTAAGAGATTTTTGCTTATACGGCACATGTGATTGCCAGAGAGCAGCAGAGAGACAGAAAGCGAGAAGACACACACACACACACACACACATACTGGGGAGATGGCCATGCTGCTGCAATCCCTTCTCTTCCATTCTCCTGGGATTTGGGCTCTCATGCACACACTCTTGGGGTAAGTTTCAAGTTGGTGGGTCGGAGTCTCAAACCATAGTCAACCATATGGGGGTCCTGCACCTTAACCACTGCTCCAACTGCTTGTCCCCCAGAACACTTTCAAGTGAGAAAAGTGTTGTCCTCGTCCAAACACTGATTTCAAAGGAAAATACTGAGGAGGTCGAGGCAGTTTGGGAATTTACTTGACTAGGATTTGTCCCCAGAGAGCCTACGGCGTGTCCTGTAGCTAACTCTTCTGCTGACTTTGAGAAACTGGTGTGGACTAGGAAGGTGATGGGGAAGCGCCCTCTCCTAAATGTCTCGGTGTCCTGGCCAATCTTCTCCTGACAGAGCACAGATACTTCTCTTATCAAATGTTCCTAGTAGTTTTGTTTTGCAGCAATTTCTGCACCTCACTCCCCAGATGGGTTTACCCTACATAGATTTTTCCAGTAAAAGTGCAAAGCCTCTTTCCAAGGGGATTACTGAAAGCCAGGGTTGTAAGTGCAGAAAGAGCCTTCGAGAGTTGACCCAGAACTTTAGTGGTGGGAGGGGCTGGTCTAACTGGTAGGTCAGGATGGAAATGAAACTGGTTTTCTAAATGTCCCATATTTAGTCAAGAATGGGATTTTTTTGAAGGCTCTATAGTGGCACAGTGGTAAACCATGACATTCTGTGAGGTCGACCCACATGGGAAGGTTCTGGGTTCATGTCCATAGACCTCCCTGAGTACACCAGGCACATGTCCATGGTCTGGAGCTGGCTGCAGCTGGGGGTGTATCACAGTAAGATTCTCTTGGGAGTCTTTTTCTTTTCTTCTCTCTTACTCATGGAATAAATAAGTATAAAATGAATAAACTTTGGGGACCAGCAGTTAGCGTAATGGCTATGTCGCTGGACTCCCATCTAGTTGACCGTGGTTCGCTGCCTGGTCCCGGTGACTTGGAACTCATGCTGGGCATATGTGCATTCGTGCCCAAGATCCCAAGAGGAGAATGGAGGAGAAGGGATTGCGGCGTGACCATCCCCC